GGGAAAAGAAATAAGAACCAAGATACTCATGTAATGGTACAAGATCCCAATGATGAATGTAACTGTATTTTATACCTAAAATGTACCAATAAAGTTAATGGGGAAAAAATTAGTCTTACATAAATCTGGTAGATTATAAAACATGTTTCTAGGTAAATACATAGTTTCGCAACAGTAAAAAGCTATAAATAATATATAAAAGCCTAACCTGGAGTAATCCAAATTCTGGCTTGATTGATGTAGAGACTAAATAAAAAGAGAAAGGCTAGGAATGCACCATTTTAATATCTTAAAATGATAATACTGGTACTATAATTCTAATGCTACTCTCTGTATCTTATTTTTTATGAATGGTAATTTGTTTATAGAAATTTCAATATATCTATTTGTAGTTGTAATAGTGAAGAAATTTATAATGTGTTTGGTTACAAATTGGCTGAATAATTGATTTCCAGGGTAAATATTCAGTAATGAAGACAGGAGAAGCATTTCACATATGATCATTTGGCCATTTATTGGTCAACACCCATGCGGCAGCGATATTGTCAGGTAACAGATTCTTAAGAACTGGATTTTTCTGTAGCTCTCAACACATCAATGGTGAGATCTCATGTAAAGTTCCTTCTTAGCTCAAATCTTGAGAAAGCCACTTAAAGTAACCTCTGGAGCTTACTCTTCTTAGCATAAAATGAGCTAGGATTGCTTCCAGCTAATCTTCCGATTTCATGAAGTAATTTTATATTCTTTACAAAAGGTAAATAAATCAAGTAAGGATCCATGTCTAGGTAGTCCCAAAATGATAATTGATATACCAGTTGATAGATGTATATTGATCATGTTATTTTCATTATTGGTTTCTTATACCATTATGTATTGAGTATAGGCAAATATTAAAGACATTTACAATAAATAACATATCATTTTTAAAAATATTTTTAATATTTAAGTGTTTATAAGAAATTGGTGGGAAATTTAATTCTACAGAACTTACTGAGCACCAGCTGACTATGCTTACTTCCTAAAGTGGACAATTTTTAAACAAGTGGCTGCCTTAGAATTAGACCAAGTCACTATTTCGTCTCTATTTCACCATATATATGTAAAAATATATATAAGTAGAAATATACCTTGGCAAGTTGTGAGCAGAGCTGGTACAATCTGGCTGAACAATTATCATAGAACAGAACACTTAGGAGCAAGCCTCCTAATATTCCCATGCAAAAGCCAGATGTAGGGAAAGAGCAGATTTAAAATGATAGCTAAGGGGTTGGTGGTGTATACTTATGTAATGTTTTCCCTTTGTGGGTTCCAATTTTATTCATATTTGTGCCTTCATGCAAATTGTCATATTGTGTTTGCTTATTTTTCTCATACATTTCTGATTAAATAAGCCGACAAAACTAAGGGGAAAAATTAAAGATAAATAATAAAAAAGTATGGTTATGCTTGCTTCATATGACACGACCAGTGTCAAGGATCAAAACAAAATTGCCTTAAAGAAATGAGGGGGATTCTATATAATTTGACACAGGACACTGTATACTACTTATTTGGCAGATCATATCGTTGGTATATCACATCGTTCCTATTTTCCATCTAATAACATTTGGAAAGCAGATGACATGTGAACATTACTGAAGTCCTTCTCTCTCTACTTGTCAATAGTCTCAGCGTAACATTTATCAAGTGGTAGTGTATGTGTGTGATATACTTGTGTGAAGTGATAACCTGGAGCTATCCACACACACCATTTAAGTAACTGCATTTAAGTGCTGTGTTGTACTGCATTCCTTATAGGTCATAAACAGCTTGAATTAAAGCAAGGCCTACCACTTCTGCCTTTGCTTTTCAAATATCCAAATGCTGAGTTCAGAGTGTTTGAAATAGCATTTATTGATTACCCCTATTCTTCCTGAAGGTTTCAAACATGCAGCTGTTGGACTAGCACATACAGAACATATGTTGCCCCATTGACTCCAATGGTCAATATAGTTAATCTGAGTAACTGCTTCAGTGCCCATTTTTTTTTTTTTTTTTTTTTTTTTACCATTTCACTTACTATTTAGACTCTCTCCTCCCAAATGTCCAGGGAAAGATTTTGGAGGAGAATTCAAAAGTTTTCAAAATGATGTTGGATTAAGAGTCCTGCCTGATATTCTATAACCCAGGGGCCTGAAAAGTCTGACCCATAGACCCAATTCTGCTCCCCTTCTGATTTATACAACCCAAAAGCTAAGAATAGATTTTACATTTTAAGTGATTATAAAATATTAAAGAAGAAAGATACTTTATGACACATGGAAATTATATGAATTTTAAATTTCAGCATCCAAAAGCAAAGCTTATGGAACGGCCCTGCCATTTCATGCACATACTGTTTAAGGATGTTTTTATGACATAGCATCAAGGTGAGTATCTGTGATAGAGACTATATGTTTGCAATCTTAAAATACTACATTTCTTTTACATAAAAAGGTGAAAATTGATGCAGTATGATTATATTGTTGGAAGGAAAGGGAAATAATCTCTCAAAATATGTGCTTTTTGATATACATCAGGATTTCTCCTAAATTTAGAGATTCTTAATAATTGAATTCTTTCTTTTCCCTAAAATGACAGATTCCCAAAATGCTGCTTTTATGGCACTACCTTTTGTGACAATTTATGTAATCACAGTACGACGTCCACACTTTGTAGCACTCCTGATGTCTGCTGTCTGGTTTTTTTCCCCTTTTCTCTTGCTAACCAGTTGATTCCAGTGCTATTGTCTATTTATTGTCCAGACACATGTAGTTTAACTTTGCTTTGGTATCATTGGGTATTCAGTTTCTATTCCAGGATACTTTTTTCCTGTCTTGTATCTATCTTTTTAAGTTTATCTCAATCTAGCTCCCTCTCACACCTCAATCTTACAGGGACAAGCTGGTCTCTGAACTTCTAATACTTATC